GTTAATAAGTTTAAAAAAGTTTATATTTATTATTAATAAATAAAGATTAAATATTAATAGTTTTATATATAATTTTTATTAATGGTAATATAAATAAATTTTAAATTAATAAATGTTTAATTTTATAAAATTATATAGTAATTTAATAATATATAATAATATTTTTTTAAGATATTTATTTTTTAATTTTATTAGTAAATATATAAAAATTATTTTTTATATTAACATTTTAAATTAAATATAAGTTATAATAATATCTTTTATTATAATTTTTATCCTTTAATAATGGAATATAAAAACTAATATTAATATTAATTATTAATTAGCTTTTTAAATAGTAAATGTATATATTATTATAAACTCCTTATTGGGATTATTATATTTTTAAATTATTAAACGTGATTTTTCATATAGTATAAAAGTGTTTTTACTTTTAATTTTACAAATTATTTATAATTTAAATATTATTATACTTTAATATATTATTATATTATATATTTCGGATTATAATATACTTTTATTAAAAAGGGTATTTAACTTTTTTATATTTAATATTTTATATAGTGTTGGTAGGTACGTACGTATAATATAAAGCAATAAACAAGTAACTCAAATAACAATGGGGGTGAGACTGGTGTATTAATGATGTCTAAGGAGGGAAGAATCTATCTGAGGCCAACTAGCAGTGTGATGTCCTTTTATACAGTAATAGTGGGTACACTGTTTCTCCCTCCAGTATCGGCGGCAAGGCACCTTATCCCCGATAAGGTGCCTACGCGCCGATGTCACACAACCACCATATAGTTTCTTTAATATAATTATTTTACTATTTATTTAAAATTATAATATTAAAGTAAAATTATTACGTTTTTTAGTATTAATATATAAAGCAATAATATGTAATAAATTATTAATATATATAAGATCTTCTTTTAAAATAATTTAATAATTGTTAAAGTTAAATGTAATATTATTAAGGTATATTTTTAGTTAATTTATATTTTTTAATAATAATAAAAATAAAATATTTAATTTTATAATATAAAAGTTTATTTTGTTTAATAGGGTATTTATAATAATTGTGCTAAATAATTTAATAGGTAATTTATTATTAAATTAAATGTTAGCTTTTTTAATGTAAGTGCTATTTATTTTTAATTATTTATTTAAATGTTTTTTAATAAAAGTTAAATATTATCCTTTTTTAATTGTAAATATTTAAGCTGTTTTTATATTTGGTATAATTCTTTAGAAAATATTTTTTATATATTAATTTAATATAAAAATAATATCAGATTTTAGGTCATTTAAAGGGAAATAAGTAATAAAATAATGGTAAAATGTTTAGTTAAATAAGTATGTAATTATTATGTATAAGTTGCTGTTTTTATCCGGATTTATTATTAAATAAGCTATTTTATTTCTTTTATAATTGGATTTTAAGTTTAAGTTTTTAATTCCTTTATAATTTGTTAAAAATATTATATAATTCTTTTTAAAAGGGCTTTATTTAATCTTTTATTTTTCTTTAACTTTTTTTTATTTATATTTTAAATGTTTAATGAATTAATATTTATCTTTTTTATATATTTAATATTATTATTTCTAAGTTTTAAAGGATTATTTTATATTATATTTGCTTTTTTTATTATTGTGATAATATTTGTAGTTAATATAATAAATATAATTATTATTATTATTATTATTATTATTATTATTATTATTATTATTATTATTTTTATTTATTATAAACTGCTTTATTTTTTTCATTATTTTATAAGTTTTAATAAATGTTTAAAATTTATTTATTAAATTTTTAAAATATATTAATAATTTAAAAAAAAATATGTTGTAATTAGGGCATAGCTCAGCAAATTCGATATATAATTATAATAAATTATTATTTTCTTTCAAAGTTAAGATTTAATGCTTTTTAATATAATAATAATTTGTTAAATAAAATTTAAAGTATTTTTATATTAATTTTCCTTTTATTTTGCTTTTTTACTTTAATATTAAAAAAAGTAGTAAAAATTTAATTATAATAATATTAGATTTTATTTTATTTTATATGAAAATATTATTTTATAATTGAATATATGTTCGTAAAATATTAAAACCAAAATATATTATAAAGAAAATAAATAATTACTTTTTTTAATAAAATGGTAAAAAATATAATATGAAATTAAATTTATTATATTTTAGCTATATAATAAATATTTAAAAAGAAATAAAATTTATCTTTAAGAATATTATATACTTTTTTTATATAATTATTTTTATTATTTTATACTTTTTTAAAATAACTAACAATTATTAGAAAATATATTTTATTAAGGATTTATATTAAAGGAATATTATAATAAATATTTCCTTATTAATTATTAATTAATATAAGGGTTTATACCTATTAATTATTTGATTATATAAGTAATAAAGCCGTTTAAAAGGAAGAAATATAATTTTTAATAAGTTAATTTCCTTTTCCTTATCTAACGCTTTAAGAAACTGCTAATGTTATGTATAAACCACCCGGTAACGGTTTAAAGGGTTTAAAAACATTTCCTAAAACCGGCAAGCTAGTTAATGCTTTTTATATTAGGTTATTATTATATATTAAGTTATATTTTTATTTATATTTTTATTAAGTTATATATATAAGATTATTAAGGTAAATATTATTGGTGGCAATTTAGGGGGGCATAATTATTTTTTAATAAATGGAAAGGGGCGGGGAGGTAAGAAAAAAGCTAAGAGTTTAATATTAAAAAAGTTAAGTTATAAGCTTTTATACTTAAATAAGTAACAAAATATGGAAAATTAATAATAAATTGTTAAAAATAAAAAAAGGTTACTTTATTACTTATAAAATTAATAATAAATATTATATATAAAAAAAGGTTAATTAATTAAAGTAATAAATTATATTAAGATTTATTTTATATATATTAACATTTAAAAGTTATAAATTGCAAATTATTATTATAACGTGGTATATATATGTATAAATATTTATATATTTAAATAAATTAATCTTTAATTAATATTATGCATTAATATTTTTTATATTAATATATTAAGTTATTTTTACTTAATTATTTTTAATTTATTTAAATTTTATATTAATAATTTATATAATAATATAAAATTAATAAGTATTTTAATATAATTAATATTATATTATTTTATATAAATATTTTATTATATTAATGTAATTTAAAGTATTAATTATAAAAGTTTTAATATATTTATAAAATTTATTATTGTAAATTTGTAAAATCGGTTTTAATATTTGTTTATTATTTTTTTAAAAGTATAAGCGTATAACGTATTTATATTAATAATCTTTAGATTTATTAACGTAAATAATGCTTAAGTTGTTTTTTATTTAAAAATAATTATTTAAAGGTTAATTGATTTTTATTTTATAATTATATAATTAAAATATTAAATAAAAGTCATTTATTTAAGTATGTAATTTATTAAAGCTTATAATTTATTTATATTTTCTATTTTAACTAAGTTAATTATTATAATATAAATTTATGCTTATATTAAAATTTTTAATTAAAATATTATAAAATATTTATAATAAATAATAAATATTAATCCGTTTAATGATATTAATAATAAGTTGGAATTATAATAAATAACGAGAAATTTAAAAAAAATTAAATAATAAAATAAATTAATAATTTATTATAAACCTCGGATATATTTATAAGTAAAAAAAAATATCTTAATATTACGTATGTTATTATAATAAGGTCTTTTAAATTATTATAATAATAACTTTTTTAATTTTATTAATTTATGTTATTAAATCTTTAATAATATTAATTAATGTTAATAAGTACGTACGTATAATATAAAGTAATAAATAAGTAAATTAAATAATAATAAAGGTGAAATTAATATATTAATAATATTTAAGAAAAAAAAAATTTATTTAAAATTAATTAATAATATAATGTCCTTTTATATAATAATAATAAATACACTATTTTTCTTTTTAATATTAACGTTAAAGTACTTTATCTTTAATAAAGTGCTTACGCGTTAATATTACATAACCACTAATTATTAATTCGTAATAATTTATTTAAAAATTTTTTATAAATAATAAAAATTAAAAAAATATTATTTAAATTTATATTTAACTTATAAATAATATTTTAATTATATAAATTATTTAATATTATTTATTAATAATAATATTTATTAAATTATATATAAAATTTAAAAAATAACTATTTTAATTTATTAAAAAGTGAATTTACTATAAAGTAAATTCGTTATAATACGGTTTTACTATATTATATAATACAATACCAAGTTCCTTACTAACGTTACACCTTTAAAGCCCATCTATCCATCCAATCACCTCCAATCCACCCCGCCCCCCCTCCGCCCCTCCCGTCCTCCACCAGATGAATTCTCACGAATCACAACGCTCGGGCTTTCCCGAAGTTTACACGCAAAAAAGTCGCTTTATAACGCTCCATAACTGGTCATCAGTCATCCAAGGGGCAACGTGCCAGAGTGGTTAATGGGTTAGACTCGAAATCTAATGACTTCGGTCGCACAGGTTCGAATCCTGTCGTTGTCGCGACTTACCATTTCTTTTTTTAATTTTTTTTTTCTTTGGGTCCTCTTCTGAATATTTAAAAATATTACATATACAGTGGCTGGTTGGTTTTTTTTTTTACGGTTTCGGTTCCTAGTTCGGCGCATACTTACTTAGCTTTCGGACTGAAGCATGTCTCATATTTCGCAATGGGATGGTTTAGCTGCTTTTTATATCCATTAATTCGCGCGACGCACAGTGAAGTATTTCGATTACACTTACATCATGCTGGAGTCTCTCCTGTGCCTACTCGTAGGAAACCCTATGTGTTTACTCTTCCATTGGAATGGCAATGCTCACCTATTATTCCTGGTTGAGCGGCAGTCTTAATATTAAGCATTAACACGATTCGAACTTCACCCCGGATTACTATAATATTTCCTGTGTCAAGTACCTGCATGACGACTTAAAGCTCAGGTAGAAGAACACGGCGACGATGGAAGGTGAAGATTATATTAATATAGGTAAAATCAACGAAATGAGTCTTTCTCGACTACTAGTACCTAGTCTGATCATTCTCTCTCTCAGACGACTTCAGACAGCATCTTGACCAAGTCAGCTATAGCTATGTCCACGTGGGCGGCGTCATGAAAATCGATGTACACATTAACATTTCCTTGTCCTTGTCCTTGTCCTTGTCCTCGTATCCGTAAAAAGCTCGGTTCGGCAATATAGGCGGTTTTCTTTCGTTTGTCATCGTAATGTCGTCTCGGTCCCCCAGCTACTTCGTTTTGCTGATACCCCTTGCAAATGAGTCTCTACGAGTTGTTTGGGTGGTCTCTTCTGCAGCTTTCGGGGTATGCGACGGCCACCGGTGCGTTGTGGTCCGTTATTGATGGCCCATGAGTCGAAAAGGCGCAGTCACCACGCGTTACGGTCCCAGTTAGGGTCTAGAGATTAGGGTTAGCTATCCAGTTTCGACCATAGTTGTTGATATAGTCTATAGTACTATAGTCCTATTTACATCGTCCTAGCCCGTCGAGTAAAGGTGGATCTACCAGTTGAAGAGGAAGGAAGACTTACCCTGCACGAACGCAGCCAGGACTTTGCTGCCGGTCTGAAGTAGCGGGTGACCAACAACGATCTTAAGGAACTTCTCGAGTCCCGCGCGACGGCCCTCGATAACGTCGTCGGAGAAGCGGTTGGTGAAGACCTTGCCGGGGAGCGGGGGGATAGTGACGCGGGCGCTCTCGCGCTCGAGGATGTCGCGGAAGTACTCGAAGTCGCTGTAGCGCCGGCGTACGGAGGAGTGCCGCAGCTTGAAGGCCGGGATGTTGGTTCGACACACTATCTCGTAGTCCGTGTACATGTTGCGCGACGTGCCGTGCGTGCGCGGGTTGCGGACCTGTTTCACGTGGGCCGCGTGCCATTGGGTTAATTCACTGTTACTACGGGTTGTTGCACAGCTTGATCTAATTGTGTCGCGTGATGCATATACTATAGCTATGAAAAAGGGTGACTTGAAGTTGAAGAGTGTAATATAAATCTCGCTCATGTGGATTCGCTATAATAAGCAAGGCTATGCGCGATTCGCAAAGCTACAAGACACGGCAATGTTTTAGTAAGGGACTTACTTCTATCTCGAGGAAATTCTCCGGGGGGCCGTAGATCTCCTCGAACGACTGCTGACGCGTGTCCGGCATGGACTGCAGGATGGGACGGGTTAAGCCAGCCATTCCGCGAGGAGAAGTAGATGTCGCTGGAGATGCCGAGGTTTGATTCAGCGATTTAGGTGTCACTGGAGCTGTGCCCCCGCCTGTCGCGGGCGCTTGTTGTTGGTTGGTGGACGCCGTTTTGACGGTTTGTTTCGTGACTGATTAACTATGTGATTATGAAAGTTGGCCAGAGGTTTGCAGATGGAGGCTTGCGCCTCGTGCCTCGTTGGCTTGGTTAAACCACGCAGTAGCTTCGGATAGAGGTTATTATGGTAATAGTTGGGTGAAGTCAAATTTTGGGTTTGAGTTTTGGGTTGAAAGGGTATGCGATCTCGGTGTGATTGGAGGGAAGAGGAAACGGGGGTGGATGTTGTAGGAGTTGGAATGTTTTTGGTGGTTGTCAATGATGGAAAGTTCCAGGAAGTGGGATGGGCTGGGCAAGGCTTGCTCGGCCGTTCAATTAGTGGAGTTAGGTTAGGTAGTTTACTTGGCCAATTGCGAAGGATGCAGTTTCTCAAATACTAATGTAATGTGTAATGTGTAACCTATGTATGTATAATTTTCACATCCCAAGGTACTTATTGTATTGTACGGGTAATCACGCAATGCAGACATGTATTTATGCCCTTTCTCTTGCCAGCACGATACCTCTCTCAAAGTACTGTACGTAATGGAAGCTTATGCGGGGAAATGTCTGAGAGCACCTTTTTAGTAACTGCAAGTTTGCATAATCGTCCTATCACCTCACCTTCCCTGATCTGTCTGGTCTGTCCGACCAATAGGCCTGCGGCGGTACGGGGATCGATTAGTAATGATATCAACTTCATCTCATCTAATCTAATAAATGCGACTTACACCAAACTTAATAATAAGTCTTGTTAGATTCACAATTATATTTATGTATTTACCTGCCTAGGTATATATATCTAGCTTAACTCTGAATTAGGTTTTCTTACTTTTTACTCTACGCCACTAAACATCAAAATACTTACTTAGATACCTATTCAAATGAATCCATAAGTCACAAACGAAATAATGCATAGTTACCTAATTACTAGCTAACTGAAGTAATTGCGTTGACCAACGAAACAGTTCATTATGGCTATCTACCTAACGAAGAAGCCTGAATTGAAAAAAAGTAACTAATAGAAAGGAAACTACTCTAGCAGATCAAAGATCTCCAGACTCCAATGGGTGTATTAGATCTACCCCCATTGTCACCTATTTATCACATAGTGAATGGACCTGGGACATCTCCTTGATTTCTTGCGATTCTCTCTACCCACGTAGATATTGACAAAGAAAAAAATCCGCGAAAAATGCCATCTCACCCGTGCTCGGTTCCGAGTCTACAGGATTGGAAGTCTGACCAAAAAAAAAGAAATTCTCAACCTTGATAGTCTCACCAGCAGGAGCGGTTCAGATGAGCTGATCAAGCCCTGATTGATTGGCACACCCTCATGGAAAACTTCCGCAGCTGACCGAGCAAGGGGTTTCTTCAGGCGCCGCTCTCTCTCTATCGTAGTAGCTGGCTGGCAGGTCTGAGTGGTCCCCGCGAAGATCATATGCTTTGTAGCAAGATGGTCCTACTGGAGATCAGACGAAGCTGCGACATTTATCCCCGTGGGCGACAATCAACATTGCCGTTGTAGCAAAAGCAAATATACTAGTAACACATTAGAGTCCATGCAGCTGGTTCGTCCAGTGTGCTGTGAAGTTCCCCTTTAGTAAGAAGGCAGCTCTCCTCCCGTGATAGCACGGCGGATGACCTTCTCGATGGCGTCCCACTCCAGAGCAGCGACGTCAGCTAGCGTCATGCGATCGAAAGCACCTCCGGACGGCAGACCCATCTCGCACCAGAAGAAGCCCCAGTAGTCGGAGGTCTTGTTCTGGTCAAGCTTCAGAGCACGCTTTCGTTGGACAGCAAGGTTGTCTACAACTCGGGAGGTTTCAGCGCGGATGAGAGAGATGTAGTACTATCCAAGCGTTGTTAGAATATAACTCATAAGTAATAAAATCAAATAGGGGTTGGTGTAACATACCTTAACAACATCCAGGGGCACGCCGGGTTTGACGCCGAGGGTGTACTGGTGGCACCAGCGCGAGGCGAGGCGAGGCTGGTTGTACTCGCGCAAGTCAAGTTCAGACAGGTTGACGGTGTACGCGATGTTATCCTTCTGGCAAACAGTGAAGCCCGGGCAGAGCATGGCAGACTTCACAAGTCGGTTGAGAAGCTGCTTGGTGAGGCGGTTGTAGTCCGGCTTCTGTCCTCGGCGCATAGCACCTCGCTCAAGGAGCTCCTTCAGATACTGGACCATCTTGAAGGTAGCATCGTAGATATAGTGACGCTCCTTGATGGTGATACGCTCGGTTAGGTACCAGGGCATCTTCTTGATGGTGCTAATCATGCACTCAAAAGGGCGTTCGGGACAGCCTTTAGCATAGGAGGCCTGTAAAATCATAGCGTTAGTAATTAATGAGAATACAACAATGTATGGGAAAGGAGTTACTTACGTGAGAGTTAGCCTCAGCATGCTTGTAGAGCATGCCCATCTCCTCAGCACAAACGAATCCCTTGAAGTTCTCAAAGTCCCATTCAGATCCAGACGTGAAAGCGTAAGGGGATTGGTGCCAATCAACACCATGAGCAGTGGGGAAGAGCTCGCTCATGAGCTTCGCCTGAGAAGAAACAGCCATCTCCACGTTTCGGTCGCCGAGCTTAGGGTGGCGCTCTAGCTTGATAGCCGCTCGGTGCTTGTCCACGGCATTGACAGCATCTTGGAACGAGACGAACTCGACATAGCAGTCGTTGGTCTTGCTAGTAACGCGGTCCATGATGATATGGACGGGCTCCTCCTTGTCGTTCAGGATGCGTGCACTACGGCCTAGGAAGGCGATGATCTCGGCACGGGTGATTTCATAGGGAATCTAGAAGAGAGGAATGAGTTAGTTACAATCCAAAGCCGTACTTTCAAAAGTAGTAAACCAAAACCCCTGTGCATTACTTACGTTGCTAATGCAAACAATGCCATTGTTGCAGCGCTCAGCAACGTAGCACGTTTCAACAAACGGCATGTTCTTCGCGTGGAGCATCTCTTCGACAGTGGGCTGGCCGTGAGGACCGACCAATCGATTCAACCAGTCGGAGCGAATCTTGCGGATCTCGTCCGGGACAGGGAGGAATTCCAAAGGGCCATAGATGGGCGATGGAGATCGAAGAGTCGAGGCCTGGCTAGTCGGACTCTTGGCAAGACCATGATGCTGTCGGATCAATGCTCGTGTCTGGGGGGTAGGAGTAGCCGACTGGGCTCTCATCACGGCCTCTAGAAGGCCGTTTGCGCTGGAAGAGTCGCTAGAAGAGCCTGCCAAAGCATCGTTGGGATTGACAATAGACTGCATCGACGAGTGAGCGCTGTGGCTTCCGGCAGGTGCCAGGGGGCTTATCTGGCGAGTTCTTCCCGTGGTCGGGCTGGTGTTGTTTCGGCTGTTTGAGGGATTGCGGCAAAGCAGACCGACCCGCTGGGTGCTGGTAGGCGTGACGAATTGGACAAGATTCTCCTGAACAACAGGTGTTCCGGGGCCACGAGACATGCCAGCGACGTCGACTTCCATAGTTCTTCCCCTGAGCAGCGCGGGAGATCCTTCCTCCGTCATCTTGGGCGGCGCCGAAACCGTAGTGTTCTTGCGCTTGTGAACGCCCTTCTGACTAGGAGAAGTCGAAGCCGAGTTCGAAGTGGAAGTCGGGGGTAGACCGTTCGCAACATTCTGAAGGACCTGTCTGAAGACCGCCGCGTTCTCGTTCTGAAGAGTATTGGGCTGTCCACGCTCAACGTATCGAGCATGATCCTCCTGGGTGCGCATGCCATCTCCCGCCGGCTTCCAGGTGCCCGAGTTGGCGGGATTCCAATACTGCTGAAGATGGCGCAGCATAGAGGGGTCAACGACCGGGGCCTGGAGAGGAGCACCTGCAGAACCCTGAGCCTGGGGGAAGGGGAGTCCAGCAGAGAAGTTCTGGGGACCCGGCTGAGCATAGTACATGTTCATGAACATCTCCACTGAAGAAATCTATTGAGTTAGAATTTGTTAGCATGGGACACCTGCTAAGTTTGGGGTAAGGAAGGGTTTGGGGTCAGGTTTAATCATTTTGGACAAGTAGCACATCGGAAGATAGAAGGCAGAGACATGGGAATATCTAGTATTGGGCAGGGGATGTCTTACCTTTTCATTGGCGTTCTGAGCAGCAGCAGTGCTGGCCATAGATCCCATCACCGCCGAACCGACGGGATCAGGAACAGAAGAGCGATCGCCATTGGCGGGGACAGTGGCCATACTTGCCATCTCAGAGTTGCTCACTGCGTTTTTAGTGGCGTAAGCCGACGAGTGACTGCCTGAATCGGCGGGAGTGGGGTTATTGAGAGGAGCGCCTTGAGCAGGAGGAGCTGTGACTTGAGTCTGGCTAGAATTGGCATTCATAGATGCAGTCAGGGGCTGGCGGGGAAGTCTGGAGTTAGCCCAACGGCTACCAGGGGCTGTAGTTCCAGGCATATTCGCGTAGATCAATTAGATACAACGATAATATGGCTGGATAATATATAGAGTTAGCATTGCTCAGATTAATTTGTAGTGGTCTTAGTATATGTAGATGGGTGACGTCTTGTTGGGGGGGAATTGTTATGATAGCAGCACGTGGGAGGATAGATGGGATGAACGCTTACAGGAGATTTTTTTTTGGTTGATATGTCGCGACTCACGCTACAAAGACGCGTAAAAGAGTAAGTGAAGTATTGGGGACAAGAAGCGACGACTTGTCAAGGTAGAAGATCAAGGTAGTAGAAGTAATTAAGACTTGAAAGTGAATTCGCGTGTCAACGTGAATGCTTCGCGAACTACTTTGTCTTGATTTTTGTCTCCACAAGCTTCATAAGCTATCAACACAAAATAAATTAGTTTTGGCGAAAGGAAAAAGTTGCAATGAAATTGTCAAGTTCAAAGTGTGTTGAAGGTGCGTTGGAAGAAGAGGGAGTGTGCGGGAGCGTAGGGTTCTTGTTAAATAAAACTGAACGGGCGGTGCGTATGTAGATGTACCTATGTATACCTAAGGCAGCTACAAATGTACCACTGACAGCTGTAAAGGCAAGATAAGTTTGAAGATAGCGTAAGGTGAAGTAGTTGGTAATGGGGTAGTAGGCAGCGTGAAGGTACAATTTCGCCGTTGCCTAGGGGTTGTTGAGACGGAAAAGCCCCACGTCAGGAATTCACTTGAATCTGCAGAAAGAACAAATTTCCTAAACAAGTAAAGACGGCGTGCAATAAAAAGATAAGGAATCATGGGTGCAGAGCAAACAAGGTGATCTTGAAATATTAGGGGGTCAAAAGGGGGGGGTTTCCACTTACTATGTACTTGGTAGGTAATATATGATTAAAACGCCTCCTCCATAAAATAAAGGTGAAACCCACCGTAGATAATAGAGTATAATATGAAAAGAAGATATTATCTTGAGGATATCGGAATGATATATCTGAGTTCTAGATTTGCGGATTAGAAACACCAAGGCATTCTTAGACACCCAATGATATCAAGGGAATTTGCGTGGGAATGGTATGAATTAGATAAGAGGTCCAAGCTTATCTCTCGTGAGTCAGGACATTCAATCAACGTGAGCAGCTCGAGGGGGAAGGGAAGACAACTGGGGGATATCTTAGGTATGTACCTACCTAATACCTAATAGACAACTAGGATGGCGTTGTACGTATCTGTGTGACTGTTGAAGTTAGCAGCGCAATAAGAAAAGATCGTGAATGAGGTCAAATTGGACTTACAAGATTTTTCTAGGAATATTGCTAAGTTAAATAAGTAGGTGAGTATACGTCCCTTGAGGCCTAGGATGGTGAGAATGGTGAGAATGTTGTCGGGAAGTGGCTAACGGCGAGGAAAGAGTGGCATAAAAAAGCCTGTCAGCCAATAACTACTGGTTACGACTTCGTACTTCCGGTTGTAGAGAGATATTAAAAGAAGAAGTAGCGACAACTGGGCAGGCACTAGACGAATTTGGAATAAGATAGCTATCGTAACGGTGGTTGGCGCGTACCTGGACACGACGTTGGTAAGTACGAACCACTTAGGGACCCGGAGATACACCGTGGTGGCTCGGGTCATTGCCTACGAGGTAGCTTCCTTCCTTCCTTATGATAGATGAGAACAATTCAATGAGACGTCGGGGTGTTGTAGCCAGCTCGGAGTGCAATAACGCAACGACGTGAAGGTGTAATTGCGCTACTTCTAAAGTAAAACATACAATCTAGGCTTCGTGTGCCTCCTTCCTACCCAACTTACCTGGTGTGATTATATATCCTGAGCTACACAACTAAATGAAGCTGCCGGTAGGTCATGGATTAGCTTAAGAAGCAAATGTTATGTAGGTATCTAATAACTTGTAAGACATGTGTTTTGCTAGCATTTGTCCCTCCTACAACTGCAACCGAGATATTCACAGCCGGCTATTTGACTGTTTGCAATTGTGATATATTGCTAGTAATACTTATCAATATATGGTCATTAGCCTTGATGATAGTCACGCCCAACTCAACAAGTTGGGTCTTAATATGACTTCATCGCCGCAGAGTTACGCTGCTTACACCTAAATCAATAATAGCTGGTATTATTGCTGAGGGATGGTCAATTCTAGCTTCTGGCAGATAAACACGATGTTGGAGACAAAATCTAGTTTCGTTTTGGGCATATGCGTGCTTCAAGTTACCTTTATGCCTTGAATCAGTTACAACTCCATGTCCCCCAGCCTTGAACTGTCCAATATGATATAATTATGAATTGGATAATATATCATACCCTGTTCACGATATGAAAATATGACGTTGAACGGGTCCGTCAACACGAACTCAATAATAACTTTACTCGGGTAATGGACTTTAAATAACTGACTCCATTGAATAAATGACAAAAATTTATTAGTAGGGTTTGGATTCAGTATGAGCAATATACTACGGGAAAAATGGCGTTAAGCAGATGATTTGATAACTGAAGACCACTAAGTAAATACGACGTGAAGAGAGGTGATTGTACTGTTATAGTGTAATCTACTAACCTTATAACTTCAAAGACTTCTTGTCCTGAAGCAGCAATTATTATTACGAAGAGCAACCAAAGATTATGGAAAGAACTTCGTTGTTCCGTGAGAAACTCTAGCCTGTTTATAGGGGCGTATAGCTACATAGGTATATATCAAATGTCTTCTTTTACCTAGTAATCTGTTCTACTTAGAATCCTCATAGCTAGGTCCAACTTGGGCAGTCAAGATTCTAGGAATCCAAATCGAGTAGTACTCTCTTCAGGGTCCGCCTCGTACTCGTATACAAAAAGGTGAAAAAATGCTAGCAAGTGATACTATGATACATGTAAAACGCATATTGCTAAGTTGAACAGAGAAGCAAAGACTTAATGGCTGGGCAAGCTTGGATAAGAGGGCACTATTTCTGAGACTACAGTCTCGAGCAGAGCAGTCGTACAAAAATCTCGCCTAATCGCTTCATTGGTTCGATACTGGGTGGCTAGATGGATCAAATGGTAACCTGAAATCAATGTTTGCTATCATTTTATATCTAAGTAATGCATATTGCTAGAGCCCGCTGTCTATTCGTGCGACCTTAACCAGTTATGCTCTGGGTATGTCAATTCTTGACTCCATAGGTTGGTTCTTCGCTTCATGGTTCATGTCTGGTTTATTTTCATCATTTTATAACTGGGGAGAATATCCAGCTATCCGCGGACATAATATTTTAGTCAAACTAGAGTGGACGTTAGTAAAAAGATTATGGAGAACGCCGGAGTGGGGAGGAGCTTACAGGTGTTAGGAAAGATTCGGCTACGAATCTTGCTCGTGCGTTCAACTAGGTAGGTAGTTTTGGTTAGTCGATGCAGCGCCATAAGGGGGTCGGTCAAATCGTGGCGTGACATACAAACAGCTTCATCTCCGAAATTTCCTTATCTACTTCCTCCATGAATTGGATGATGAAGTCGACCAGCTTGTGCTTCAACATCTCCTCGGTATGGAAGTTTGTTATTAGGAAGGAAATGTCGTACCCCTATTTTTGGACCGGGTTAGCTATAACAGATCCCGCGATAGCTCTTTAGCAGGAAAATAGCGGTAATACCTTGATGGGTTTCCTCCTAAGGATGAAGAAGGCTTCGGCGCGCTGGGTCAAGAATCGGGTGAACTTATGGACTAGGATATTCTCGATCTCGTCTGCCTGCTTGATCTTGATGCTGATTCGCACACTGTTGATGCTGGGTTCGATCAGGACTTTCTCGTTCTCATTACGGGCGATGATTAAGGGGTTGAGCAGGACTTCAGGGGAAGTCTGGGCTTCGATTTCGGGAACATTGTGTCGTTCGGAGGTTTGGGAGGCGAAGTTGGAAAGGCAGAGGGCGGCGGTTAGAGTGCTCCGCACACATTGGAGGTAGGGGCGGAGAGATTGGGACTAAGACTTGTAGTTAGTATTAGATGATATTTTATTTTGGTGTGGTAAGCGGGAGTAAAGAAAATACCATGGTGTGTGTAGTGCGATCAGTCCCCTAACCTGGTGTTATGTCCTACAATGGGTTGTGGGGATGAAGCAATCCCCGGCCTGACAGCGGTTCCTTTAAGTTAATTACGAACGTCCTTTATAAGGTTGCAATGCGGGGCGCAAAGGTACGGTATAGCTCAGATACGTAAGAGTTGAGGTCTTATGTAAGGTGACAGCTTTGGGATAATGATTATGTACATAGATAGAGCTTATCGATTTGATAAGATAGGCACGTGTTATGTGGCGCGTTAGGCATGCAGGCGTCAATGTCAGCCGTCAACTTGTGCTTGTGTGGCTTTAAATATTCTCTGCAACATTACCATGTTGAAGCCCCGCAGCGGGGACCTACTTCGGTTGAAACTCTCTTAAATGCGGGTACCTATGTAGAATCGTATCGATTATTTGGCGGGTGACGCACCACAAGTTTGCCTTGTCTACCTCTTATCTACTACCTCCTACCTCCTACTAGGTAACCTAACCTTCAATATAATAAATAACAACTACTACATAAAATAAATATATTCACCCCTTCACCCTTCACCTTTCCACCTTCCACCCTCCACCTTCACACGTCTTCTATTTCGTGCTTTCATCCTCAATCACCGCATAATCTTTTAAGGGAATAGTGAAAGTTGATAGGTATTAGTTGTTGGAAGGCAAGAACAAGATGGCGACCATACCAAGTAAGTACCTTGAGCTTCGGATTCTAGCTCTTTTGCCCTTAACCCTTGGGACAAGGCCCACTAATATATGTTTTCTACTTGATATAGTCGTCGTCAAGCATCAAGGGACCAAGTATGACATTGAAGTCGATCCCGAGTCGACCGGTGAGGTGTTCAAGTTTCAACTTTTTAGTTTGACAGGCGTAGAGCCCGAACGACAGAAGATTCTGGTTAAAGGTGGCCAGGTGAAGGATGATACTCCTATGAGCAAGTTCGAGTTTAAGCCGGGCCAAGCTATCATGATGCTCGGCACGCCAAGTCAGGAAGTTCTTGCACGACCAAAAGAACCCATCAAGTTCGTCGAGGATATGACCGAAGCTGAAGCTGCTCAGCAAGAGGGAGCTACACCTGCTGGTCTGACCAATCTCGGCAATACCTGCTATCTCAATTCTACGCTCCAAACCCTCCGCGCCATTCCGGAGCTCCAGAATGCTTTAGCTAAATACGAACCTCAAAGTGCAAGTACTGCTGGCCTCTTACCGCCTCTGGATTTGACCAAGCAGCTGCGAGAGCTTTACAAGTACATGTCAGAGACCCAGGAAGCATACGTTCCTCACGCGTTCCTAACCGCCTTACGAACCGCTTTCCCTCAATTTGCCGAGCGTTCCCGGACTGGTCACGGCTTCGCCCAGCAGGACGCCGAGGAAGCATGGTCTCAAATTGTTACTCAGCTACGTCAAAAGCTACGCGTGAAGGATGCTCCCGATACACCGGAAACCTCTTTCATCGACAAATATATGCAGGGGGAGTTCACATCTCAACTTGAATGCGACGAACCCGCTGCTAAAGAAGGCGGAGAACTGCCTGTTACCTCAAAAGAAACTTTCTTGAAGCTAAACTGCCACATTGACGCCAATACGAATCATTTACGAGACGGAATTGCCAATGGCTTGAGCGAGAAGTTGGAGAAGAGATCGGAAGCCTTAGGCAGAGATGCTGTCTACACTAAGACCTCTAAAATCTCACGATTACCCAAGTACTTAACGGTTCATTTTGTTCGTTTCTTCTGGAAGAGAGAGACCCAGAAGAAGGCCAAGATTATGCGAAAAGTTACTTTCCCGCTCGAATTGGACCTTGTAGAATTCTGTGACGATAAGCTGAAGGGGATGCTTGTTCCCGTCAGAGACAAGGTCCGAGAAGTTCGAAAGGATGAAGAGGATATCGAACGGGCACGCAAGCGACGTAAGCGGAATGCTACTGGCGAAGACGAGGCCGATATTCCAGGTGGTAAGGGCGCGAAGAAAGAGGACAAGAAGGATGAAAAGAAACCTAGCACCTCGGCGGATGGTGACGTAGAGATGGGTGAGACTTACAAGACGGATGCCGAGATTGACGCAGAACGGGACGCGGCCTTACTGGCGGCTAAGAAAGAGCTGAATGCTCTCATCGATCCATCATTGGCGAAGGACGACGGTGCAAACCAGTCGGGCTTATACGAGCTACGAGGCGTCGTTACACACCAGGGTGCAAGCGCCGATAGCGGTCATTACACGGCTTACGTCAAGAAGACGGCCCCGGTTGATGCCAAGACGGGAAAGCGAAAGGAAGAGGACGGAAAGTGGTGGTGGTTCAACGATGACAAGGTATCTGAGGTGACAGCCGACAAGATCGAGGCTCTAGCCGGAGGTGGCGAATCTCACTCGGCTCTCATTCTACTGTACCGTGCTATCCCCTTGCCTTCCGCCGAGGGTACGACTGAGTGAATACGAAATTGATGAGGATATGATATCGCATACGGGCGTTTTTAAGTGCATGGCGAGTAAACGGGGGATGGAATATGGCGGCTTAGCATTAGACTCGCTTTCACTTGATAGGTTACGGCTCGGAAAATAGATATCTTGCCATATTTGGTCGGTATTTTGATCTCATTCCCTTTCCTCATGTATTTTTTTAATTCATTTTTTTTAGTGCTATGCGTGCTTCGTCAACCACACAACTCCCTAACTCCTAGTATCTAGCCCTTATCCGTACATTACTTTCCGGACACACTCCCTTTCCTCCTATTTCCTCTATATCTACCTAGGTACCTATGTATGCTAATTACAAGGGCATATACAGCACCTCGTGACCGTGTTTCACGATGCGTCCTACATTTAGACAGGTATATATCCTATTATAAGCTACCAGTTCGATCCACTCTCCATAGAAACAGAGGCTTTCCTACCTTATTCAACAATAGCAAATTATTGAAGTCATCTGGTTCGTTTTTATCAGATAGCTCGCCTCTCCTCTCCTCTCCTTTTCCTTTCCCTTTTCATTTTGTCCCCCCTTCTGATTTTCTCATAATAATATATCTTCTTTACTACTCAAAGCACAATCCTTAACCAAACTGCAACTCAGCCCAGCTCAGCTCAGCCCAGCTCAGCTCAACCCCGCGCATTCCCGTCCTCCGCCGCACCACTACCACCACCATCCTGCTGTGCCTGTGCCTGGGTCTTGACCATCCTGGCCCTCAGGTCGGCGAGCTTCCTCTCGAAGGGGCGCCTCTGGGCGACGAGGGCGGCGCGGCGGGCCTCGAGGTCGCGGACGCGCTCCTCGGGCGTGGCCTCGACGACCTTGCGCTTCTCCTGCTGGTACTCGGACCGCGTCTTCAGGCCCGCCCCGTAGATGGCCCCGACGATCGTCACCGCCGCGATCGCCCCCGTCCAGATCACCCGCTTGAGCGTCGGCGTCGGCGTCCCCCGGACCGGGCCGCCCGCTGGTGAGCCCGGGACCGCGCTGCGAGCTGCCCCGGGGCCGCGGCTTATTTGCCGCGGAGGGGGACGGCGGTGTTGTGTCAGGGGGTTGGTTGGGGGTTGGGATGCCATAGCTTTGCTTTGCTTTGTTTTACTTTGCTTGGCTTGGCTTGGGAAAACCAAGTTTTGACAGGTACCCAAGGTAGGTAGGGTAGGTAGGTTAGGTCTTTATTTTTATTTCACTTCACCCCCAATACCCCCTCCAGCAGAGGTCGCTCTCCCGTTGCTGTTTTGCTGTGTTTTGGCCTACCGTGTCATTACGGTTGGGCCGGCCGGGTTTTCCTCTCTTCCTCCCTCTCGAACTATTAGTAGTCCTACTGTCGCTTGCACTGCCGCTACCGGTGATATTGCTTCCGCTCGCGAACGAACTGACGGAATCAATTGGATGCAGAACTGATAGGGACGGTGACGTAATTCTCCTTCCAGCGTAAGGTAATGCAGGTTCGGGAGGCTCGGGTAATTGGGTAGGAGAAGGGGTATGTGACGGGACGGGGTGATTTGTGATAATTGGAGATTGAGGGTTGGCGGGACAGGAGGTGGAGGAGGAAAAGGATTGGAGCTCGAGCTCCGCGACGAAAAACTCGGCGCCGCTCGATCCGCTGCTGGCGTCGGGGACCCTATCACCTGTGGATCCTATGACTTGCAGGGGTATGGCCCTTAGTAATCCGCTTATAATAAGGTTGAGGAACGACATCATCGATTAGAATCCCTCTCCTAATACATACTCATTTATTACCCCAATACACCTAAGAAAAAAAAAAACATATATGTAAATTTTGGAATTTTCTTATCTTCCTTCATTGGCCTTCTTTGGTACAAAGCCCAGACTTGATTCTTCTCTCTTTTTTGACGACGAATATTGTAGCTGCAAGCTAAGCAGGCTAACCGGCTGATGACGCTTATTCTCCTCATTAACTAAGCTCTTGTCATACATAGAATTGGTCGAAAATAGTTTACCTGTCAATAAATTCCTTCTCATCCTCTTTCTTTCTTTCATATATAAAAAAATCCGTTAGGAGGGGTTACATTGCGTGGCGAATATCTCTCAAAGAGGTAACCTTCCGAAGTATTGGCCACGAAGCGACTGTCAAAAGTATATAAAACCGCTTAAGAGTATACTTCAACGTCTATGCTTTCACAGGACCTAGCGCTATCAAAAACCATTGACTCGCTATCGTTTTCGAGATTCGTATATACGCTTACCATTGTCTTGGGCCCTCCACATCAAAGGCATTGCAGAGCCGCTCTACCGCCCCCTGGGACTTATTGACGGCGCGCCTCATCTCGTCAAGATTTCGAAGGACCAATACCGTCTGGGAGCAATGGCAACCCCTCGAGTCTTTGTCGTTCGCCATGGCGAGACCGAATGGTCACTTAGCGGCAAACACACAAGCGTAACTGATATCCCGTTGACGGCTGATGGAGAGAAGCGTGTGAAAGCAACTGGTCAAGCATTGGTAGGGGATGATCGATTAATTGTACCTAAGAAAATCGCGCATGTGTGAGTTCAATATTCCTTCAACTGCGTCGTTCTTTCGCCGTTGTTTGAGGTTCTTCGCCGGAAGGCAAAGCTTCACACATAAGCTGATTGCCACGATGGGGAGCCCGAGACTCGGTATTAGTGCTCCGTGGAGCTCTTCTCTACCTATTCTTGAGATTCCACGCTAGATCTAATGTGCACAACCCTTACGCATTCGGGAATTGCACTAGCTCTACACTATCGCCCTCTCCCCCTTTCTTTTGGGTTCGCACCTTGAGCTAGGGTGGTCGTTACGAGGTATTATAGCCGTAGTTGTATACTACGTTGCACCGAGTGGAAGCTCATTTTAACCCTTGACAAAAGCACAGAACTATAGCAATGCTTTAATACGACCTATCAATGATGAATTTGAATACCTAGCTCAAAGTGCCCTTAAGCGCTGATCACATTACCTCTCTAGATATGTATCGCCGCGAAAGCGAGCCCAGCGAACATTTGAGTTACTTAATCTCGGAATTGCCGGGCCCCTCCCGTGGAAGGTTCACGGCGAGAAACCTCCTGACGGAAGCCACTCTTGCGATGCGCGGGTTGAGGTTACTGAGGACATCCGCGAGTGGGACTATGGCGAGTACGAGGGAATCACAAGCCCCGAGATTCGCAAAATCCGCGCTAAGAAGGGTCTTCCTGAGGATTGGGACATCTGGAGGGATGGTTGTGTCGGCGGCGAGTAAGTCACTAGTTCCGAGTTAATGGGACCTGTGGGCAAGGATAAGGTTGCCGACAGGTTGTAATTTGTCTCATCAGAGGCTCTGCACTGAGTATAAGGAGAGAGCTAGCTAATGTCGTTTCTAGGAGCCCCGAGGACGTCACGCGTCGCGTGGACCGCTTAATCAAAGAGATTCGGGAAAAGTGGCACGCTCCCGTCATAGGGAAATCCAAGTCTGAAGAGCAACCCCCAGGGGACGTACTCATTGTAGCACATGGTCATATACTACGTGCTTTCGCGATGAGGTGGGTAGGTAAGTCATTGCAGGATGGCCCAGCACTTTTATTGGAGGCAGGTGGTGTTGGAATATTAAGGCAAGTACCTAGACTAAGCTTTTCCCCTGGAACAAGTAAAAAAATTCTAACAGAGAATTCATTAGTTATGAACATCATAACATCAACGAGCCAGCGATACTACTAGGAGGCGCCTTTGTGGTTAGCCCGGAAAAATAGGGGTGCTCCGGCGGCTGTTCCAGCAGCTATATAGGAGGTAGCTAAATATATTACCTACAGAATTATAATATTCAAATTAAGCACTTCATGTTACAATACAGGCGCGCATTGTGCCAGCGAAATTTACACTCTCATTATCTCTGAAACGCCTATACCTCGTCAAATTTACTGGCTGCTCTTTAGGCAAAAGAGAGAGAGCCACGATACCAACATGACCTGGATAGGCAATATGTCCCTGCGAGCCTTCCGTGCTGGCGAATACGGCCATCCAATTCCATAAGCACCTCGCGATGTCACATAGTACACTCTACAATACTACACTCGACACAAGAACAGCTATTTAATAAGCGATTGGCTACTCATGCTGGTCAGTCAAAACCCCTCACTCGAGCCCAGACGTCCTCGTGGGGTTTGGATTTAAAAGCCGTCGGAAGGGTTGGGATCTAGGATTGAGCTCTTTGTATCTCGTCTGCCTATTTGAACTCTGGCAGCTAATACTGAGGGTGATTTCTGTACCCATTTTACTCCTTCACGACGCGGTCGTTACCTATGTGTTTATTTCCGTTGTGCTATGTCTGATCCTTGCAACCGAACTTCACATTTAATAGACTAGCTATGTATATGCCTATCGATTCAAGAAAGCACAATATATTCGCCTAAGATATTCCGGGGTCTTTTATTGTTGTATTACGTTCCCCAGAGAACTAGAATTAATCCTATGCGCTTTTACTCCGAGCACCGAACGCACCGGTACCACTACCTACATAATACAGCACTACCACTTCATTACGTCCAATCTGCCTAGCCGCTCATCCCTATATGATGGATAAAGGGCTAGGGGAGTACGATACGCATATACTTTGCAGCAGGAATCCACTTGTCTCTCGTTCCGACGCTTCCAGTTCTAGCCTGCGTACTAGGGATCTACGGAAGGTGTACGCTCTATAGTGGTACTAAAGTATAAGAAATTTGAGAGTAGAGATTATGGAATAGATATCCGCGCCTATTACGGGGAGAGGTTGGATGAGTTTCTCCTAAGCTATGATTGTAATAAACCCATATACCTAGCATAGTTGTTAGATATTCATACTGTCGTAATCTACGCTGTGCGTTCTGCTACGTAGATAAAACATTAGGATCAGCATAATTTTATTCATATGATATAGCAGTGTACATTGGCACCATACCGCGGCCCGAATATCGAGCATTGCCTACCTAGGTACCATTCATGCCGTAACGGAATAGTTGGCTTCTATTAAGAAGGGAACTCCTTGTCTGTATAGGTATCCCGTCGTGGGCTTCTTTTAGCTGAGTTCAGTGCTTGAACGTAGTTGGTCGTGGCATAATATCGGTCTTTGAACCTAATGGTAATGATACAAGAGGCTCGTCCCTACTCAGGGAAGAGGGGCGGACTGGGTGGACTGAAAGGGCGTGTTCATTTTCAGATAATAACCGTTCAAAACGCCATAAGTATTCAGCGCCAGTGCTATGTGGGAATGGGAATCAATGTTACATACATGAGCAGATAGCACGCAGGTACACTTCATAGTATGCAAGTTCAAAGAGGAATTTGGATAATCCCAGTATAAACAAGGTCGTTATTTTGGCCGTCTCCTATTCGAAGGCTAGTAAAACTTCATCGATGAGCCTAGCAATGAGCATTCCTTAGGTATCTAGGTGTGTCTGGACCCAATGCCACGAATAAAGTGATTTATTAGCGAGTAAGCGGTCTTTACTATACAGCTAGGACCACTTGATCTCTCGACCGGGATGTGCTCTAGCTACTATCCTTAATAGAGGTAGGTTAGGTAGCCTTCCTTCGTTATGCAACATTAAAGGGACATGGTGCTTAGATCTTACAACAAACCAACAGCAGACACGGCTTACCAACTCGACCATCACAGGAACGTTGAAACGTCAACATCTTAACAGTACTATTTAGGTATTCGATCGGTGCTCCTTCACAACGCCATAGTAGCATCTAGACTCTAAGTTCTTTGGCATGGCATTGAAGTTACCTACCACCGGCGTTCTATAATCTATCTACCTCCTTAGGTAGGTACCTTAGGTTAGGTTAGGTACCTACCTAGGTAAGCCGTTTTCCGCAATTCCTGATCCTCATAGTACTGCTAGCCTAACATGCCGGGATTTGAGATCCTCTCGCAGAGCCAGGTATTTCCCTGCGGCCGTGAGGCGTAACGCATTCGTAGGTGAGGGGTTTCTCCCAATTGATCTTTTGCTTACCCCTCTCCAATCCACAGAAGCCGTAGCGCCTTATTACTATTGAGTACTTTTTTTTTTTTCTTGCTTGTCTTTTTCTGTGCATTGCATATGAAGAAGGCTCTCTCCACAGCTCGTGGCATGAATATCAGTTAGGTACCCAACATAACCTCCTAGGTAGGTAGGTAGGTACCCAAGGTAATATAGGCGGTTAGGGACATTTGTCGTTAGGTATTTTCGATATGACTATAATGAATGGGTGTTAGAGCTAGGTACCTAGAAAAGCTTCCAATTCTAACAAATCAACATGGATTTGAAGCAGGCTCGTTAGTGTAGGCACAGGTTGCAAGGCTGACAGTGAATACCGTAGCCAGCAACCAGCCAGCCAGCCTAACCTTTACCTACCTTAGCTAAGGGTGAAGCAAGCTCAGCCTGGTTGGCAGAAGGGAGAGAGACACACATTTTACCTATATCATTGCGAATCAATTACCGTAGGTACTCTTACCTGCCTAAGCCTGTCCACGCCGAAGCATTGAAATGGAATAATTACGTGTATTAAGGGGAAAAGGCCAACATTGTCGTTAGGTTAGGTACCTATCTATGCGGCCCGAGTACCCAACAAACGGGCAATCCAGCTACCTTTTCTCCTCGGGCAAGAGCGTAAATGTAGTAGAGCCAGCCCCCCCAAGTCTAAGAGGCATATCGGCCTCTCGGTGTTTGAAACATGCCTACCTACCTCAGGTACGATAACCTCAACAGCAAAGATCCGAGATCCCTTGTTTCCAAAGGCAGGTCACCTGCCAATTTTTTCTAGCCTCTGGCTTATTTCATTGACGTAGGTCAACCTGCCTACCTAACCTAAGGAGGTATCACCGGAGAAGTAGGAGAAAGCAACCCGCAAAGTTGGGAATATGTCATAACTCAGTGGCCTCGCTCCGACCGATGCTCTGAAGAGAAACAAATAAGTTAGTTAGTTCTATTAGTATAGTATGCCCGCGTGATTACAGCCGAAACGCCCAGCAACCACCGCCTGCTAGTTCTTTGCCCAAGTAGGTATCTATTTGTATTTTTACAAGTCCCTTTTTTCTTCCTCTGTTCTCTCGCCTCTTACCTACGTCAATGCGAGAAACCTTATAGCTACCTATCTACCTAAGGTAGATAGGTAGCTAATCAGGCAGTGGGGGAGGGGGTGATTGGATCGCGGCCCGGCGCGAGTTACTGCACATTCTATCGTTTCAACTTAGGTATTTTACTTTATACCGGCGTCTAGGCATGTATCGCTTTCTAAGTATCTAGCGTAAGTACGGTATGTATTCGATAAGTAGTCGAGTGTACCTGCCTAGGTAATAGTGTTTACGCGTTTCCATCTTGAAATTGGTGTTGCTAAGGTACCTCTAGGCAGGTAGGTAAATCTGCAGGGAAGGGTGTTCGAGAGTTATCGTTAAGGTTTCGCTCGATGCCGTCGAACAGACATGACGCTACTAGGGACTAGGTATAGAGACGATGATGGAGCGGGAGTTAGGCTTCGGATCGAGTCGACATGTAACGCATCCCGTCTGTTAGGGAGGACACCACTACCCGAGAGGGCGTCCGGGAGCGTTGGCATGGTGTGGCCTATTTCTCGCCACCGAACCTAAAATCATCAGCAAACTCGTGGGTTGCTTCGGCACATGCATACCTGGGGAATATTAAGTTTGTGCCCGTGGTCCCTGGAACACCCAGCATCTAGTGTAGGTAGTGTAGGTGAGGTAGATGTTGTAATTCTCGAATTTACCAATGAAGTCATACGATAGGTATGCTGCAAGAATGTGTTGGCAAATAGCAAAGTAATGATTCACATTAGATTAGGTTAGATACGTTACAGTCTTTCCAAGACAAGTAGACGTTCGTCCCCCAGTCGTAATTACTGATTATTGTTATTATTAATCACACGCAGACCCCTAATTCCAACAACGCAGGGTATACACCAGTAACATGTAGGAGGCTTTTCTTTTTGGTTCTAACCAGGGAGGAGAGGGGATTTAGGTACAAAATTGCCTTGTCCCGACGGATGAATCCCGCCTCGTTGGTCTCAACCCGCACAAGCATGAGCACCAGCACCAGCACCAGCATGCCAGATAGACTTCTCCCGGCCGGCTCTACCCAAGTCCCTACCAAACCTACGAGGAGAGACCACGTTCTCGGCCCAGTAAACTTTCTTTGAGGGGAGGGGGAGAGAGGAAAGGAGGGGGGGGAAGAGAACTGTAGGGTAGGGTAGGGTAGGGTAGGGTACTAGGTATACCTACCTAAAATATGTACATAGCAGGTAAAGTAATGATTTAAAACAAAACCTAAAAAATCCCGAACCAAGAGATGGAGAAAGAAACAAACGTAAAGTTTCGGTACGGTACGTGGCGTCATCCGCTGCGTCCCACAACGTGTAGTCCGCGGAGTCGTGACCTCGGGACCTTAGTCAAGTCGTGAACGAACCACGAATAAGGATAGTACTACTACTGTATGTATGTATGTATGTATGAGGTATGTAGGTATGTATGTACACACACATTACCCATACATACGTCGATAGTGTGTGTACGCATACAAACCCTATTGTTGGAATAGGTACTTGCGGTACTACTCTGTATGAATACAATAAACTGGAGTCTTTGTTCCCTCAGGGTCCGCCTGTAATGACTCGATTCGCTGTGTTGCACGCTAGGCCGAGGAGAAGAAAAGAGGATAAAATACTACAACCTATGGCTACCTCCTGCTTGACTTTTATTATTGCTTGTTTGTAAACCCTACGTAGGTGGTTAGTATGCATGTATGTCTGTAAAAGGGACGAGACCGTGATCCCCCTCGAGTCCGAGCCCCTTACCCTACAAGAAAAGCAGACAGGGTCTTGGGTCTACATCTACCTACCTACCTACCTCCCTCCCTCCCTATCTTACCTACATATTCTACTTGTCTTAGGTATATACACAACTCCGCCGCCGTAGGGTTATCTAACGATGTTTGTGCGCGTGCTGGTGTTGACCGTTGGACTTGCGTATCAGGGATTCCCCCGACGTTTTCATCCACACTAGAAAGAAGCTGAACCAAAAACAAAAAAAATTACAGTACGAATACCAAAAACCCACAGCTCAGCATTTTTTTTTTTTAAAAAAAACCATACGTATACATTATCAATACAATAAAATACATACGGGATGGAATGTATCCAGCTAGCGGTGTTAGCTCGTCCCTTCGGGGGCTCACTACCCTAGGTACTAACAGGTAACCAGTCGATACTTTTCGTCTGCCTTGTTTACTCTCGTGCGAAGTCAAGGGTCCCTTCGTAAAGTGTCGGGGCACCGCGGGAGCTAGAATGCCTTCAAAGTCACGGCCTTAACTTCGCATAAGGCCGGTTACATTCCGCCGTCTAGGTCAGTCTAGTTCCCATGTACGTTAGGTATGTATATACCTACCTACCTAGGTATGTGTGTATGTGTGTAGCAGGTAGGCAGGTAGGCAATGCTCGAGCTAACCCAAGTCATTGCTCGACTCTAGACTGAGAAGACGAATCAAGATCTATCATAATCAATAGCTAATTAGTATAGGTATGTATATCTTGTATTATTATTATATGCTGATATTTTGTGCTTTTGCTAATCTTTAGTAACATCGTTTAGGTTACCTTGGGCCAATATTTGATGATATATGCACATCCAAGCTCCTTCGTCTTCGCAGAATTACATAGGAGGTAGGTAGTATTGGGTTAGGTAGATTTGTGTCAACGACTTTTTTTTTTTCTCTTTTTCCCTTCTTGCACTTCGTCAACGGGGATCCCGAGCTGAACAAGGACTATCCCATCATCCCCTTTCCAGTGTCCAGTTTTCCCCTCCTTTTGTCGAGGAAACGCCAGTGCGTACATAGTAGATCACGACGTTGCTGACTTATGCGTGTAATGCGTCCGCTAAACTAAGAAAAAAACAATCCCCAGGACGCAACGGCGACCGGGATACCGCTGTCAACGTCAAATTTGTATCGGCGAGCCTGCCGGATCTCATTCCGCTAAAACTTAGGAGCAAAAGTGGTACATGGTACAGGTACAGTAGCATCCGTAGTCCATGAATTTGCCAACAAATTCCAGCCCTCTCTTATCAAAAAAAAAACCTTGGCCCCCCCTGTATCCACCTCGAAGGGGAGGGTCCCGCTGGCCCTAGTTCAACGCAGCCACCCATATCATCGTCCCCCTGAGCTTCTTACCTGCTTGTCATCCATCCCCCCCCGGCCGTAATGAGCGCGATATGGAATCGATATGTCTTCAGCTTTACCACATAACCCATCTATTATTTGGAAGCTACCTTAAAGCTACCTACGGCTATTACCGCTACTTAGATGGACAAAAAAAGATATGGAACGTCCTCGTCGACAGCGTTAGTCTGCAGGACACACCAAATGCGTTGATCGTCACTTTCAAATCCCCTCTCCACAGTACGTAAGGGCGCATTAATCCATCTAGGTCATAACCCATACTATTGAAGGCAATGTAAAAGTGAAAACGCTTATAAAACAAAAACAACCACCAAACTCTGATTTTTGCCGTGAGGCGAACCAATCTTCTCATCCCTTCTCGTCTTCGGATCGAGCAGGCGTCTTTTTGAGAAAAAAAAACCATAAAAAATAAAAAATAAAAAAAACTAAACCGATATTAGTATCGCCGTGGGAAATAGATAGGAAGTATGTCATGATCGGAGGTTTGTCGCCAAACTGGTCATCTAAAAAGTAGGAAATCTTTCGAGCAACCCCCGTTTCCCCATTTCCACGCAATACGCCCTAGACTTCGCAGCCGCCGCCCCAATAAATAAAAATGCAAATGCTGCCTAAAGATGCACTATCCTCATAGACTGGGAACTGATTCAGATATCCCTTAAATCATCGCTGATTCGTCATTCGAACAAGCCGCCAGCAGCCATCTAATTTTCCGATCCCTTTTAAGGTCTTTTGTAAAACGAGTTGCCACTGATCCTCCGCCGCACCCACGCTGCGGGAAACCGATATCCCCATCGCTAAGTTCGTCGATTTAACCGTCCTAGCATTTTCTGATCGATATCGTTGCTGGGACTAGGACCAGTGCCCATTATGTTCTCTAGACTCATCACAGAACTCGCATTATGATGCTGATGTATTGCAGGAGGACCGGGTGGGCTGCCTCTTGGTGGCGGCGTTCTGCTATCGTACCCAGCATATGACACCGGCTGGGGCTGCAGTTGCGATAACGGCTGCAAGTGACTCGGGCTGCCGGTGGACGAAGGAGATCGTCGTCGGGGATTATCGTCGGGGAACGTGCTCGGAGGTGGTAAGCGCACTCCATGCTCATCATCTACAGGTCTTGGTCGTCGCCTTCCCGTATCAGATCTTTCCTCCGAAAAAGAACCGTATGAATTAGTAGGCGATGGTAATGGCTGATCGTATTGTTGATTTGCTGCTGGATAGGCACCGCCCGCGGGAACACTGGATGGACCTGCCAGTGGTTGACCATATGCACCAAATAGTTGAGTACCCGGCGGAATGCCGTTAGGTAGTGCTGAAACAGGAACGAAAGCCGTAGATGAGGAAGAGGATACCGGCTGGAAAACACATTCTTGGTTCATTTTAATGCAGTTTGTACATTTTCCTCCAGGAGAATTTTGATATCCACTGCAACGAATCTGTCCTCTTTATTAGTCTTGCCCAGAGCCGCTCGGAGGCGCCTATTTATATAGTGTGCTCTTACCTTTCTTCTTCGGCAATACCTGCAAGCAATCGAAGTTCGCTGTCGAGGAGCAGACTGTTGCATCACAGCAGCTCCTACAGGTCCACCTCTTGGGAAGTCAGGGGGATATGCCCCTGAGGCGCCGCGGTCAGTTCGATATCCGAACTCGTAAGGATTTGGGGCGCTGTAATTCGCAAAATATTGCGATCTTGGATCTTGGGGTGGATAGCTGGCTCTCGGATCCGGACCTGGCGTATGAACTGGAGGAAGATAAGGTGGGTGGCTGGAGCCTGGAGGAGGATAGGCGCTTCCACCTGTCGGCGGGGAGTAGGCGGTGCTTGGAGGTGCCGGTGTGGTGAGCGGCGGAGGATATCCATTTGTAGAGCTAGGCGAAGGTCCGTAGCTACTGCTTCTTGGATCCCAACCTCTGGCACCGGTGGGTTGGTTATAAGAATCTTGCATGGAGGGCAATCTTACTGCTCCTGACGCCATTTGTGGCCGGGTATGGTACGCAATTGTTCTCGTACGATCGTCTTCTTCACCAGGAACTGGTGGATACTGAGATTCGTCGTTTTGGTTGTGTCTTGGTTGCTGTCCTATATACCGACGGTCTTCTGCCATGCTACGTTAACAGACGCTTTGGGGCGCCAAGGCGAAGGCCGAGAACAGTAACCACGTAATAGTTATGGAGGTGGTTTTCTTCCTTTTTTTTTCTTATAACGCTGTTTGATGCAAGATATGCGTGACTCGGGATTGCAGCCCGGTTGACTTATGTTACCCTGTTAAACGCGAAGTTTCCGAGGCGAAATAGTACCACGGTTTAAGACCATACCAGATTTCTTCCTTTCTCCGAAAGCCGGGGGAAATCCACGAGACCAGTAGGCCTTGACGAATTCCGAGTCTATAAGCTGTTCGGCGCGCACATAAAGGTCTGATATCTTTAGAAGATACCGAGCCGACTAGTTACAGGTGTAACTGGAGTAGCAGGAGTTTGTAGAGGGATAAGGGCGGTAACAATCCTAGAAAGCCGACGGGGAATTTTAATGATGCTAGAGTGAATAAAGAAGAGGTAGAGTTGAAAAGACGATAATTGCTTTGTAGAATGACGGCGCAATAAATTTAGGTGGAATGGCGGGGCCAACCGTTGGTGGAAGGGGAAGAACCTTAACAACAGCACAAATGGCGGAGTCTTGTAGTGCCGGGAGGAATAGACGGGGGTTCTCGTCTGAGTCTTTCTATACTAATTTAATTGCGGGATGACCCTTGGGGGCTGCTGCAAGAGAATCTTGGAAGAGCCTAGGTAGCCCGTTAGCTGGAATGAACCCGAGTAAAATAAAGAACGGAGCTAAGAAAGATAATAATAATAAAAAACCGATAAAACAATAATAAAATAGGTATAGGCAGGTTTTAGTTAGGGAAGGGGACCGGGGGGGGGACTTTGGAAGGGTTTAAACGAATAACCAAAAATACCCATATGCGATGAAATAGGAAAAATGAAATGACCACGCTCAGCCCATGAAATCTCATTAAAACACACATACACATATACGCCCACCGCGGGCCTCTGCAATATATAACTCCAAGCGGAACTAACCTGCTATCTAGAGAGGATACGAAGCTCGGAGAGGGCAGGGGAATTGGCCCAACGAGTTCGGCTAACCAACGGTGAGATTATTACTTGAACAAACAAGGGAGGTAGGTAGGTTAGGAGGTAAGTAACTGGTTGTTGTTGTTGATATGTAAAAGGGCCAGGCCTGCTCTTCTTCTTCTTCCTTCTGCTAGAAGTCGAAACAGGCAAATCTGACTGAGAAGTGGTGCGTTAGGGGGGGTACGCAACCGGGCATGGATAAGGCAGGTTTATATATGTAGAAGGTAGGAGGTAGGAGGTAAGTATGTTAGGTACCTAGGCATACCTACCTATATGCAGGCGTATATGCTAGGTAGGTTAGGTAGGTATATATGTGTAGGTAGGCAATGTATATATGTATGTGCGATGTGCGCCTAGGTAGTTTACCTAGCTCACCTAGATGTTGGGGCAGGGACAGGGCCGCCAAAATAATACGGACACCAGTTCTGCGAGCGGAGCAAGGGCCCGCAAGTACAAGGTTTATGGGGACGGGAAAGGGAATAGACAACCAGGGAAACTAAAAGATTGGAAGGTTGCCTTTTGAGTGTGGAGGCGTTGGAAAAGCTCAACATGGGAAGAGAGATAGGTTCAGGTGACTCGGTGTAAGTTGATTCAAGAGATATTGCCGCGCACCGACATAGGATGGTAAAGTTTCAGGTGGTACTCGACTAACCAAGAGACGCTAAAGTTATGAAGTAGAGAAACGTACCTTTTTTTTTTCTTCCTTCCCTTTCGAATGAATGACTGCGCATAGGTATTAGGTAGAGCTAATCCCCTAACTAGCGGCAACGTTCCTTTCCGGGGTGGGCTAATGAAAGCGGTGATTCGTGCCGGTGGACCAGAATTAAAAACAACGGAACCGACGGCGGATGAACTACTGCGGGTAGAGAGGATGGTGTGTATGTACGTGGATGAGTTGGCGACCGATAGCACCGTCCTGACATGGGCTATTGAGTCGCTAAACCGAACACAATAAAACGTTGTCTACTTGGTAGGGTAGTGGCTAAGGTAGAAAGCTGAATGATTTCACTAGCTAGCCAATACAGAGTTTTTTTTTTCATCCAGATGCTGGAGCGTTGGTGAGATTTAGTGAAACGGAGGAACGAAATGGATTGACCCGTGGATTAAGAGGAAGAGGTGTGGTGCGTATGTGTATGCGCGTTTGAGTGCGAGAGTAAGTTGTGAAAAGAGACAGAACGTTGTTTATGTATGTCTGACAGCATATGAGAGCGTATGAAAGCATATGAGTAGGTAGGTAGGTAGATAGGTATTATTTTGCCACAACCGAAAAAAAGAAAGAAAAAATCAACGACGAAGTGATTGACGATAATTCGACGACGGAGGTTTTAGGTGAGTAAAGTTTTCTTTTCTTTCTTTTTTTACCTTCTCTTTTTGCTCGAGTCTCTACCTCAATCTTCCGACGCCTATATGAGAAGTATGCGACGGGAAGGTCAAGGAAAAGAGAAGAGGTAAGGAAAAAAGAAAACAGGTTGTGGTTGCAGTGTCGCACGGGAGAGGTTAATGGATGAGGGTGCTGGATGACAGTGCAGTATGATTGATGTTCGAATTTGGAACAATAATACCTTTGCAGCCGGGGGTGTATTGATTTTTTGGGAAGGGCTTGTTTTTTGTTCCAATCAAGTCCAAGTTTAGGCTAGTACCTTACGCCTAATGGGCAATGGCGGAATCCCGTCAGAACGGTTAGGCCTAACAGGTCGCAGAACGGGCCGCAGAAGGAAGGGCCCAATCTGATTCGGTCGAATGAACTGCCCTTCTTCTTTCCAATATAACATGTACCTATGGAGGGTAGTTAGGTACCTAACTGCTGTACTTTGTATTGTATGTATGTATGTATGTATGTATGTGTGTGTGTGTGTGTGTGTGGTGTGTGTGTGTGTGTCCAGTGTCCAGTGTGTACCTTAGGTATGGATGTGTCCGCTCGCGATTGTTGAATGATAGCTTAATAACTTTTTTAACGTTGCGATATAGCTTTGGAGCTTAAAGAATAAAATAAACAAGTAAGCATTTGAACATCTCTTTTTATTTTCTTCAGCTTCTTCTTCTTCTTCTCCTTCTCCTTTTACTTCTTCTTTTCCTCTCTCTTTCGCTTACTCCATTCCCATTAATTCGAAATCGGAAAAGAAAAGAAAAGGAAAACAAGGCAAAAGAAATAACAATGTTTACTTACACGTATCAAGCTAGCTAACTAACCTATATACCAACATGTAAGTATTTGTTGGCAAGATGCGTGTGTAGGTAGGTATATTGCAGGTTTATAGGTCATGTGTACCACTTACAAATAATTATTTACGAAAATGTACTGCCGCTAACTTGTCCAGTAGAATGTAAGACAGCTTCAAATACCGTGGCGATGCTCGATGCTGCGTTTTGCGTGTGGGTAGTAAGTAAAGGTAAGTAAAGTTTACCGTATGTAAAAAAAGGAAGAAAAAAGGGCCAACTCTGTTGTTCTTTAGGGCTGTCCCGGAGATAGGAAGCGCCACAATCGGGATGTCCAGAGACCTGTGTTTTTCTTTTTTTTTTTCGTTTCTAGTAATCCCCTCGTTATTTTTAGTTACGCTCGTGAAGGCTTTTTTTTTTGCTGTGCCACTGGCGTGGTAACAATTGCGGCGCGAAAATTAAAAAGAGAAGATATTCCTAGCCGAACCGATCCTTTCGTTCGGTCCGTTTGGTGGTGACGTCCGGATCCAAGTAGGGGTAAAAAAAAAAAAGGTAATTATAGTTCTCAGCACCGCAAGGCTGTCGAGTTGTTATGAGAAAATACAATTCTCATACATTACCGCTTAATATTCGACGCGGTTCGCTTGCTCTCTTTTAGACTTGATTGAGTAAAAGAGCCTGCTGACCGGCGTTAGAAATAGAAAATAAAAATCCGAAAGATGTCTATGTTTGTAGAGGCTAGCGTCTGATTTCTCGAATGATGCAAACGTGGCTTGTCCCGAGGGCGTGGAACACTTCGGGTAGGCTGCTGGGAGGCTGCTCGGCTTGCCGGGCTCGGGTTGGCTGCACGTGTGCCGTAGTAAGAGGGCACCCGTGAAGTTCCAGTTGCCGAGATAGTTCAAAGTTGCATGCAATGTGTAGATGCGATGCAGTAGGGTAAATCGTTGGATCGAGTTTTCCGCAGATGAAGGAGAGTAACTCGCTGGATAAGGTTGGAAGGTTGGCCGAAGCGAGTCAGCCAGTATTATTATGTTTGGTGGTGGGGCGGTCAGCTTGACTTTTCTGTGTGGTTATTATTATTATTATTATCTTATTACTCTCCTTTTCTCCTCCTCCTCTTCTGTTTCTAGTTTCTCTTCTTTTCTTTTTCCTGATTTTCTTTCCCCCCCTCTTCTCTTCTACCCCCCCTTTCCCCTCGAGCTTGTGCTTCAGGTTGCTTGCCGGATGCGAATCCAGCCAACGGGAAGCTCGGTTGAGACCCAAACTGGCAAGTTCCAAAGTAGGTAGCACAACACCGCACGTACGGGGAGGGTGGTGTAGGTACGCGTGGATGCTTTTTTTTCTTTTTGCTTCCTCTATTGTACCTCTACAATGCCTCCAGGATCCTTCACTTCCGTCGTTAACCCTCAGGGCATGGGGGTCACGTTAGATGGATGGATTGTACAAGCTGGGGCTAATAGGCACCTGATGCACGCAACGCAAGCGTGCAAGGTCCCTTCGGGTTCAGATGACGGGGTAGCCGTCAGCTAATCACGATGCCGATGGCTTGACCCAAGGCTCTGGGCACCCAGCTTCTATTTCCCCTCCTTGTCTAGACCAGGGCTGCCCCTTAGCGTGCGCCAGTTTGTTCTCACACCGCTGCTTTCCTTGAACGGACACCTGGGGGACACCTATTGAGCCTGCCCTTGTCCTGCTGGTCCTGCTAAAATGCTATTTAATAACCCTGTTCGACTGGCCTTTAAATGCTCCTGTTTGTAAACTTAATGCGTCCAAGCATGAAATTGACGGAGGCCAGCCGTTCGCGCTAGCCTTCCCAGAACGGGAATGCGGTAAGGGAATACAAGGCGGGCGGATAGATCCCAACGTCGCGGTTCGACGGGGTGACCCGAAACTCTGATCAACAGGCTGTACCAGCACAATACCTCCCTGAGAACGCCAATGGGTAAACGCAGTCAAACCGCCACCTATCCCGGCTTGCTATATTAAGGAAATGGGTGTATATGACTGCGGATGATATCTGATACCGCGATCCTTACGCCGGGACACCGCTACCGCGTCTTTTATGTCCTGAGCCGTGATGAGAAGTAGCTGTACTTGTATGTAAGTCGAGGCGCGATGGGATCCAGCAAGGAA